GGTTCAGATGCCTGTCCGCCGCTGCGATGTGTGTGACTCCGGGCCAGCTCCCCAGCCTGGCGTCTCAGTTTCATCCGCCAGTAAGAATAGCTTCATTGTGCGGCCACCGTGAGCATTAAAGAGACGCCAGGTGTGTAAAGTGCCTGACGCTCAGTAAGCGTCCAAGAAACGGCCGTTTGACCTGTTACTCTGGGGGACAGGAGGTCACCGTGGAGCTGTGTCTCGGGCCCCGTGGCTCTAGCAGCGATGAGCCTTTGAGGGAGCGAGCGGCCTGGCTGGGCAGACCAGCAGCGGCTCTTGGAAAAGCCCAGGAAGGGCATCAGGCTCAGCTCTGCGAGGTCCGCTCACTGCTGCTCCCGCCTTCCTGTCTGACCCCTCGTTCGCGTTCTAGGACCTCAGGCGACTCAAGTCCGATCCCCTGGCCGGCAATTAGGGCAGCGCTGCGCTGTGTTCTGCAGAATCCTGAGTGTGGGCCGTCGGGCCTGGGGGCCCTGGACGGCAGAGGTAGCGTGCCCTTGAGCCAGGATGGCTACTGAGGATGACGGTTGCATGTGGCTTTGTCGTCCAAGCATATGGGCTCCCAGGCGTCTGAGTCAAAGGACCTGAGAAATGGGGTTGTGCCGCCCGCTGTCCCCGGTTCCCTTGCCCTCAGGCCCCAGAGCGTCATGATACCCCAAGCAGCTTGGGCTACTATCTCCAGAAGGTGGGCCGAGCCGGGCCTGTCACTGAGTGCCCGGTCCACTGAGTGTCTGGTCGGGACGGTGGACTGTGGTGGCTGCGGCCGGCCACCAGGGGCAGGTGGCGCCAGGGATTCCTCCCAGCAGCTCACTAGGGTTCCTGCGCGGTACCAGTACCGCTACTCGGCGAGTGCGGGCGCCCTTGGCACCCAAGGAGGGCTGGGCCCCTGGTAGTTCCTGGTTCAGCCCTGGCAGGGCTAGGGCTGCTCGCGTCCTAGAGAAGGCCTTCCCCTCCATGCCCACCCTGTGTCAGCCTCAGGTTTGTGGGTCCCTCCAAGAAAGGGAGTCTTTGGGGGCAACCAGGGATGCAGTGAGCCTCGTGAGGTGGTCCTTTGGCGCATCCACACGGTCCTATGGGCGCCTCTCTCTGGACTTCGGGCGCCGGCTCTACCTGGACGGGGAGCAAGCCCTGCTGCTGAGATTCTAGGGAAACAGATAGAACACTCACCCCATTGCAGGCCACCCAATCTCGCCCTCTCTATTCGGATTCCGCACCTCAACCCAGAAAACCTTTTGGGAGTTCAAGGCGCACAGGGACCCGCAGAGTTCCAGGAAGAAACACGCCCGCGAAGCCACTCAGGAGGCCTTCGCCCTGACACCAGGGCTCCAGGCGCTTCTGGCCCGGGCGTGGCACAGCGAGCTGGGGATCCCCCCTCCTTTCTCGCTCACCGGGCCCGTGTGCAGCAGAGGGTCCGGGAATCAGCACCAGCTCGCGCTGGGCTGGGTTCTGGCTGCGCGAGAGCCTGGTCCTCCTCCAGACCCAGGTGCCTCCGCTTTGGAGCCCCAGCGCTCAGGACCGCCTGGGCGGGCGCTAGCTCACGGCTGGCCATGTGCTCCCTGGTGCGCGACCTTCCCATCGACCAGGGGTGGGCAAACTTTTTGACTTGAGGGCTACAATGGGTTCTTAAACTGGACCGGAGGGCCGGAACAAAAGCATGGATGGAGTGTTTGTGTGAACTAATATAAATTCAAAGTAAACATCATTACATAAAAGGGTACGGTCTTTTTTTTCAATAGTTTTATTCATTTCAAACGGGCCGCATCCGGCCCGCGGGCCGTAGTTTGCCCACAGCTGCCATCGACGCACACCAGCGCGTTCCACCACCCTACTGCCCGCACACACCCTGGTGCCATACGCCGCACATCCTCGCGCACTGGTTCGCACCGGTTGAAGTCCCCGTCCAGCATCCTTAGGCAGGTTTGATGCTATCGAAACCGTAGCATCGGGATGAGGACCACACACACAAAAGGGCCCAGTCGCCAAACCCAAGTCCCTCGGTCCTTCTTCCCCTGACATTCAACACAGAAACATGTTCATCTCTCCCATTGGTGGGGTCAGGGAGGTGAAATTCCCAGCGCTCAGACTCCGGCGGCCCGACCCAGCTGGTCCTTGCTCTTCCCGGGGCCCAAATAGTGTTTCCTTTGAGGACTGGGGAAGCCGAGGACGGACTAGCCCGGCATCTCTCACAGCTCTCCCTGGCCCTTTTAACCTTTACAAGTGCACCCTGCCCTCAAGCCCTGCGCCCAGCGGGACCCCAGGAGGTGCGCTTCAAGGGAGGGACACCAGGGGCCAGCCTGATGGGAGGTGGGAGAGGGTAATTAAGGGGAAGCATAGCCAGCCCTGAGCTTCCCGTTGCACTCTCAGTAGCCCTTGGCTTCCAGCCCCCAAGCAGGGGAGGCGGCCAACTGCCCTGGAGGGCTGGGTTCTACCTTTTCCATTGGGGTTCACCTTCGAGGGTTGTGTGGGTATGGAATCCGGGAACAAATGAAAGGCGGACGCGGTCACAGGAGCAGAAGAAGGAAACCCGGCTTCCAGCCACTGCGTCCCTTTGGGGTCGGCCACCCGCCGGCCGCTGCTGCTGGAGAAAAACGCCTGGTTTCTGTGCTGCCACGGGGAGAGGGGGGCAAAAGGGAGGGGTGACAAGCCTCTGGGAACCCTGTGTGGTGGCCTCTCACGGGGAGCGGCTGCAGTCACCTGGCTCCATCTGAGCACCAGTTACCTGCCGGAGGACTGGCTTGTAGAGATTCCTGCCGTGGGCGAGTAGCTGCTTGGGTTTATCTTCAGAACTTCAGCCTAGTTTCCCCATTTAAATACATGTTTTCGGGCTTAGCTTTCCAGGGGGGACGGCAAGAGGGAAGTGGCCACAAGTGGTGCGGGGTCTGTGCCTGAGTTCGCTTTACCGGATAAAGAGGGACCTCGGGCACCTCGCCTCCTACTGGCCAGTGAGCGCTTGGCGCAAACTCTGGCCGTTCCACCAAGGCCGTGAGAGAGGGGGCCGGCCGAGGTAGGGTCCCTGACCTGCTGCCACCTTGGCTAGAGCTGTCTCTCTCCCTGGGACTCTGAGACTTGATGCTGAGCCCTGCCCAGAAGCTCCTCTGAGAGGCCGGGCCCTGGTCCCGCAGGTGGCTGCTCACAGGGGCACCGGAGTGAGTGTGGATTTGGGAGCTTCTGGGAGAAGCATAATGCATCTTGGTGTTTGTGTGTGTGAGCGTATGTTTTTGGGAGGGCCTCACTTGTGAGTGTGTGTTTTGCCTGACGGCATGTTAGTGTGTTTGTGAAAATGGGTCATGGGTCTGTGTGTGTGTTGCTCAGTATATGTGCGAATGTGAACCTATCCGTGGGACCGTCCCTGTGTGGCCACTACGTGTGAGGGGGTGAGTGTTTTTGGTGCCATCCACAGTGCCTGGCAGATAACAAGCTTTCAATGCTAGTGAATCAAACGATACATGGGTATGCTTGTGCCCTTGTGAAAGTAGCACACAGCCTGTTGGCCTGTGTATCTGGAACACAGCGGGTAGGGAGGGCTGAAGCAGGCTCCAGGGGCTCCTGTGCTTCCCCTTGCCAGCAGTAAGCCAGGTCTGTCAGCCACGCTCCCCGCATCCTGGGAGCCGCTCTATGCCCTCAGGCAGTAGCTGGCTCTTCATGCTAACCGTCAGCGGAAGTCAGGTCACCAGGGCCCGCAAGTAGAGACCAGGTCCCCTGAGGCCCTGAGTGTCCCCTGCAAGCAGAGCCAGAGCCTCCAGGAGAGGCCCAGGGAGCTGCCAGGGCTGGAATTCCTCTTGGAGTGCCGGGCGTGGGGGTACTTGGTGCGGCACCCGGCACCCGGGGGACGGGTCTTAAAGTCCTCTGGGCATTCATTCCCTTGACCTCCAGTCCTGCGCAGAGCGGAGGCATAGGTAGCCCACCCAGTTGACTGCATCTCCGAGGGTCTTGACTGGGAAGGAATCCTTGATGCTCAGAAAGTCCCCATAAAAGCATTTTCAGTGAGAGCTGATTTCACCAGAGGAAAGACCGGAGAAGTTCCCACTATCAAGGATCACCCTGCGGGAGAGTGCCTCATCCCATCCGCCCTTCCCTCGCCTCCCCTTCCCTTCCCGTTGTCCAGGTGGCTAAAGTGGGACATGTTTGGTATTTACAGCAACTGCGACCTAAAAAAAGCATCGATTTCCTCTAGGAGGGACATCCCGCCCGTTCGTCAGGACCGGCTAGACGGGTTGCTTTATAGGAGGGGAGGGGGCTCGATCCCCCAGAGGGGAGGGATGGCTGCAGGTTAATTTACAGCCACAGAGGCACCTAGGGCACAGGACGCTAGGAGGTGCTCCCCTAGCTGGCCAGCCAAGTCCAGGCGCCCTCTTGCTTCCATTTAGAACACTCGCTCTCGGCAGGCCGGCCAGCCTCCCTGAGTCTCCTCTGACTTCTCTCCTCCCCACCCCTTCGTTTCCACTCCTAGGCGATCTATTCCTGAGCCTGGAGGCCTTTGTTCTCTGGCCACACAACACAAGACTCAGGCTTCAAGGCTGGATGAGCGGCTGCCCTTGGGGCCAGTGAATCTGCCGGCGGGTCGGGTCTGGTTCTGGGGACTGCGATCATCACTAAGGAGCGCGCCCCTTCAGGAAACCTCTGTGACCCGATTTGTTCCCCAGTCTTGGTATTTCCCAACACAGGTGCCCATGCTCCGCACACAGACTCCCATTTCCTCCCCGGAGGTAAAGAGAGCACTGCTTGGCCTGTGGGGGAGGAGGAGTCCCCAGGAGGAGTGGGCTGCCCCTCCCCCAGCTCTCATGGAGCTTTCTGGACCAGAAAAGAAACAGAGGGCTTTGGAGGAGGTTTCCGAGTTTTCAACTCATACACGTTGTGCATGTGGGAAGGTGTCTCCAGGCTTTGGGACTCGTGGGGCATCCCTGCCCAGAATGGCCCACCGGAGTGTCCAGTCCCTGTAGGAAAATCAGACACTGTTGCACTCAGGGCTCACGGTCCTCTTGGCGTATATCCATATATATTTATCATTTCTAATTTTATTATAAAATAAAAGCAGAAATATTTCCTGAAGAACATTCACATGAGGGCGTAACAGGCAGACGGCAAGTCCGAGGCTCGGGAGGCAGGCTCTGGCGGGAGCACTGTGGTCACAGTCCGGGGGGAGGAGGAGAGTGCAGGGCTGGGGGCCTGCGGGGCCTTCTCACCGCTGCCCTTTCTCTTTCACTGAAGTTACTAGGGCAAAGCTGACACCTGCAGCCCCAGTGACCCCTCTGGGAGGGCCTCTGGAGATGGCCTGGATTCAAAGGCTGTCTTTCCTTTGCTTTTCCTCCCTCCCAGAAATCCAGCGTTAGCGGTGGGGGTCAGAAGGCCAGGCAGGAGAGAAAAGACGGAGGGGTACAGACCCAGGGCCAGGATATGTGAGGCTGGGGGAGAGGAGAGACAATCAGAGAGAGACAGAGAAACAGAAACCTAGAGAAATGACAAGCCAGAAATATAAAGGGAAACAGAGACAGAGAAAATAAGGGGAGAGCAAGAAAGGGAGAAAGAAAGAAGAGGGAAGAAAGGGGAAGGAAGAGGAAGAAGGAGCAAGGGAAGAGAGAACAAAGAGAAGCAGAGAGAAGGTAGGAGAGAGCGTATAAGAACTGTGTATAATTTATTCCCTTCCCTGGTTCAAGACCCGGTCCCAGGTCTCCAAAGCATCTCAAAACCAACTTGTGGGGGGGGGGGAATTCCCAACCAAGGCCAAGCCAGAGGGCCATCCGCAACACCAACCGGCGGTTCTGCCCGCTCACTTGCGGGTCTCAGTCCCCGGCGGGCCCGCCGCGCCGCCTGCCCTCCTGACGCCGCCTCTCAGTCCCCGAGGCCAGCGCATCGAGGCAGGTGGGGCTCTAGGAGCCCAGGTCCACGAGGTTGGCTGACATGGGGTTGAGAATGGAGTCCTGCAGGCCGTGGTGGTGCTGCAGCGGGTCCGTGCCGCCTCCGCCTGGCACGGGCACCGGCACGGGCACGGCGCTGGGGCCCGGAGGGTGGCCCAGGCTGTGCAGGGATGGCAGCCCGGCTGGTGGGGGCGGGCTGAGC